AGGGCTGTATTAGTGCCATTAGCGATATAATAAACACGAATGGAATTTATTTTCTTCTTCGGCGAGCAATTGAGTGAGAGAAGCATTTATCGTCTTGTTAAGTAACTTATTTACTGAGCTATATACCGGTAACTACCTTAACACTACGGACGGAATTTCCCGCCGCAGAAGGTGCACGTATCGAACATGTCGAACAGACGTTGACAAGACCGTTGGAGATCCGGATCGGACGAGTCCATCTCGTCCTCGTTCAGATACTCTTTCCCACAGCCGGAACAGAATTTGGATACCCCGGGGTCTTGGATAGCTAGCGACGTCAAGCCACACCGCACTACATTCAGGAAAGGTTTGTTAGTTTGTGATGTGCAGGATAGCATACCATTGTTTCTGGGGGTGCTACATACCGAAGAGGTGGCCCGCGGCGCATTGCGCTTCCTGGTTCGAATACCAAGCAACGCCGGCATCGCAGATATCGCATCTCTCGAAAAGAGAGCTCCCTGGCCCGCTGAGCTCCTCGGCGGACTTGGCCTTTACCGTGTTCTTGGAGGTGGAGCATTTGGAGATCTCCTCGGTCAGATCGGCGCCTGTGATGGTAGCGAGTCTGATGAGAACCTGGCGAGCTTGCGCCATGATCTCCCCATTGGCGCAATCGACAATGGCGGAGCATGCTGCTGCGTATAATAATCTACCAGACAGTGGCAATGGTGGGCTGTCGCCTTCGTCATTTTGGGACTGTAGAATGTGCCGGAGGGCCGCATCGCGCCTTGTACTGGAGGAGTCAGGGCCAGAGGCAGAGCTGGGCGCCGATGTCGCTGTTGGCCCGCTGGGGAGCTCGTCTGCGACTTCGCCAGTGGTCGTGGAGAAGGTGATGATTACTCGGTCTTCGGCGGCTGTGCGGTATTCAATGACGTCTCCCGGGTGGAGCGTGGTAGCGCTCGCAACGATGCCCTTGCATGAGGTCAGGCCCCAGATCCTGGCCACGGCGAGGCCTCCGAAATCTCGATTGAAGTCGAACTGTTCCCGCATATCGTCGATTTGGTTTTTCCAGGGGGCCTTGGAGAATGGCTGGTCCTCCTGCTCCGAGGAGAATTGTTTCGTTATCGCGTAGCCGCCGCCTGTTCCTACATGCAGCGCGAGATTCTGAGACTCAGCGTCTCGTGTGACAGTCATGGCTTTCCCGTGTCAGCGTGGGCTAGGACTAGTGTGGGTAACAGAATATTGCTTACATGATATTGGATCCCAGTGCCTTGGGGCTTCGGACTGGATCTCTGCCGCCGTGTCCTCATAGAATGGTAGGTGTTTGAACTCAATCTTTGTGGATTCTTGCTCATGTCCTTCATATGCTGAGTGAGGCATTGTGATAAGAGCGAGGCCCCCAAAGACACCCGCAGCCAAAGAAAGAGCCTGCGCATTACCCTGGTGTGGTTGTTAATCGAGAATTATTTCCCTGTGAGATTCTGTCTTACCAGACTGATCCATTCAATGGGACCGGTGAAACGATGATCTTCCAGTCCCTTGCAAGACACTGAAGCGTTCTCCTCTGACTTGGCCAGTGGCTCGGGAGGCAGACCCACGTCTGCTCCATACTTGAGAGATGCTGGGTCAATTTCTAGCCTGAGGACCCTCAATTTTGTCCCGTACACAACGGCCAGATTCCCTATCGCGTGACGGGCAGTTGGACTTTGCGTCTGATCGTCGTCTCCCGGAAAGATCCACGGGCCCCAATTCATTGATGAGACAATGGCCTTGGATTGTAGTGTAGCGGCAAAGAGCGATGATGGCTGAGCCTCAAGATAGCTCACAAAGGGTTTATTCAAGGAAGTTAAGGCGAGCACATCAGCGGTGTACCTTGGACTATGTACTGCTACCAAGCTTCGTATTCGTAGGAAGATCACATCCTTAGAGTCATTTGCAACTGACAACAGGTGATGGCCCCAGCGACTCTCGACGCCGAAAATTGCTAGCGAGTCCGCATTTTGCTCCGCGATAGGTACTTTCAGAGGCGATGACCACGAAAAAGACCGAATGTATGACTTCCGCAGAGCCAAGCCCTCATCTTGGATCTGGGGTTGGAAGTGCAGTTTCAGGGAGTCGTTGACGATGGCTACGCGCGTCCATTTGCCTTGGATCCCGACAGGCTCATAGAGGGAGAGCAGCAGATTGGAGGTGAAGACGGCGAGCACACAGCGCCGGAACTTGGCGAGTCCTGGAGGGGACCAGGCCAGACCTACCACGGTGCTAAGGGACTGCTCGCCGCCAAGAGAGAAATTGTCGCGCTTCTGGGGATAGATGGTTGGCCATTCGCTTTCAGTGAAAACATTGACCCTGAACCGATTGGAATGCCAGTCGTTGATGGCTTTTTGCACAGGACCCTGTTCAGCTTTTTCATTGGCCGTCTTGGGGGTCTGTTCGCAGTGAGCAAATCATTCGCATAAGCTCGATAGTGATGGACAAACGACTGACCAGCACCTGGACGTATTCCCCCGCACCGATGGCCAGTTCCCCGTCTGCCGACCAGGCCAGGCAATCTGAGCAGGAGGGGAATAACGGCAATTCCAACGGTCCTAGCATCTCGAGACAGCGGTGGTATTCAACAACTTCTCATGATTGAGATACGGATATTTTTTTTAGAGTGTTTCGAATTTATCACAGAGCATTTGGTCAACGACCGGCACTGCTTGACATCCCTTTGATTGCTGGAATGCTGTCTCCAGCTATAGCGATTGTATGGCGGGACGAATCTATAGTTGTTCCTGCTTCGGGTTAGTCCAATGTGGGCGGGAAGGAGAAAGATTGCACTCATACTTCATGCGTAATCACGTGCACGTGGCCGAGCCTGCAGCCGGCTGCATGCTATGCTTCCCGATCAAGCGGGCGGTGAGAGTCACCGGGTGTCTGGATAAGCATTAGGTAATTCGGATGGCATGAGCACACCATGCCTATCGTGGTTAGTTCTTCAGGCTGGCTGAATCAACGGTCAGTGACTGGTCCAACAAAACTAACAAACACTCTGAGTCTCTGACGGTGCAGTCCAGCAGTGAGGATCAACGCCCGCCCGCCCTACTCATCCCATCCTCCCGCTCCGACTATCGTCTGTTTGTTCTCCTCTTTCCGAACTCCATCCGACCGATTCTCCACTGCCTTCAACTCCTCGTTGTCTTATTACTCAGAGGTCCGGCCTGAGAGATCTCATCCTCTTCGCCTCATATTTCACTCACATCGCCGACCCTCTGCCACACATCCGTGATCTTTGCCACCTGCAGTCGTGCACCCTGACTTGTTCTTGGATCAGCTTCCGATAGCTCCTCGTTCATCGCTGCTACCCCGCCACAATGTCGACCTCTGCCCGTCGTCGCCTTATGCGCGATTTCAAGGTACGTAGCTGCCCGCTGCGTTAGTGGGATTCAACCCTCTGTCCCTTGCGTTGAAATGGGTCTCTTGTCTCAGGATTCGCTTTAAGCATGTTATCGATCATCGACCAAGGCCGAGCTACATGAGCTAACAGCTATGCTTCATCTTAGCGTATGCAAACTGACCCTCCTGCTGGAGTTTCCGCGTCTCCTGTAGCAGACAATGTCATGACCTGGTGAGTCAATCCTAACTGTCTCGATGTTCTCTCCCGCAATGGAGTCTGAGTCTGATAACCGCTCCAGGAATGCGGTCATTATCGGACCCGCCGATACGCCCTTTGAGGACGGCACATTCCGGCTCGTGATGCACTTCGAGGAGCAGTATCCCAACAAGCCTCCAGGCGTCAAATTCATCAGCCAGATGTTCCATCCGAATGTCTACGGTACGGGCGAGCTCTGCTTGGACATTCTCCAGAACCGTTGGAGCCCAACCTATGACGTGGCCGCGATCCTTACCAGTATTCAGAGGTAAGGACTCTTGTCTGCCTTGCTTATCCCCGATCAATCACGAGGCGGGAATAAAACGATGCTAACGAACGCTTTTCTGTCTATAGCTTGCTCAACGACCCGAACACCTCATCCCCCGCCAATGTAGAAGCCTCCAACCTGTACAAAGATAACCGCAAGGAGTACATCAAGCGAGTGCGCGAGACCGTCGAGAAGAGCTGGGAAGATTAGAGACGAGAGAGGAGGGGAGACGACTACGATATATTGCTATACGCGGGTTTGGATCTCTTGGTTCATGGCGATGTTGACAATGTCTTGCCCTGTGTTCCACCTGGGCTTAATGCCCAAGGCATTGATCATGCTCTTGTGGAGATACAAGGGCAGTGAACCCAAGGGACTTGCACCCCGTTGATGACGTGCACAGCGTGGGGTTTTGGCGCCTGGTTACATCTTGATCTGTTCTTCTTATCGTGATCTCCCATTGGTAATTATGAATAACTGCATCGGTTTCATGTTATGCTCATGTTGTTTGTTGTTTCACTTGAATGCATTTGACTTTGGTGTCTCCTTGCTCTTTGCTGCTACTGCATGTCAGATACTCGGCCCGACAACTCGGCCTGCTTTGCATTCTTTTTTCAATTTGAGTTTCCATTCACAACCGTCTGCCGGTGATTTCAGTTCCGCCATGATGTAGTCTCACCCCAACATTCCTGCCTAGTCAAAAATTTCGGTCGTGGAACTAAGGCATTCCGATGAAGTAATGAAGTTGGCAGGCGAGTGCCAGGCAGAATTTGGTTTGGGTAGAGAAATTCGAGCTCGGTAACTTTAGTTATTGCAACAGACAGGTTTGATGCGCCTAGTTCATTCCAACTCCCCTCCCTCAATGCCCGATAAGAATGCAAAACTTCTTCAGACTTCTTAGGCAGAGATGACCATGACCCCACGTCACGAGCATAGCTGGTTGACTGCGTTGTACTGTACTGTACTTCTGGCTTCTTTTCTGAAACACAAAATTGGGAGATGCTAAAGTAGTCGTGGTTCTTTCTGACCGCCCGGCCTACTCGTAATTGCACGTGGACCCCTGACCCAAACCGTAGTTTAGTTAGTAGTTAGTCTAGTCTGTCCCGTCCCGTCTGTCCGTTCTGTCCGTCTACTAACTTACTGACTTACTCGTACTTACTCTCCGCTCTCCATCTCCCAAGCCTGTTCTCTCATTACCTTCTTGTGATCTGAACGAACCCCTCTCTCCCATTTTCGCAACACCCCCCTCCCCCTCTGGGGTTCCTTGTTTCCTTTTTATTTCTCTTTCTCTTTGTCATTCACATCCTTTCCCTCTTCATCGGCCTCACCTTGAGTCCGGGTCAGAGTGATCATGGCGTATGTTTGTTTTGGCTCTTGCTACTCCCCTCCCACCCCCCTGTTCACCGCTTCAACCCACACTTCCTCGTGGGCAACTCTTACAACGCGCACGCGGCAACGAGAACTGATGGAATTTTCGACTTGACAGGTCATCTGGCCCCAACGGCCCCAACACCATTAAGGGTGCGCATTCTCCATCCCCTCTGTTCATTGTGTTTATTTCCCCTCTGGTTCTTCAGGCTTGAAGGTGAAATCATGGTGTCCACTAAGCTAACCCGCTCCGCGACACAGTGGTTGCGAGATTCCGCCCGCAGAACAAAGTCGAATTGGCGTCCGGGGGTGAACCGATCGTGGAATTTGAGAATGAACAATCATGTGTTGTCAACGTGAGTGCTCCTGTTCAGGTGAACGTTTTGAGGTGTCCCGCAACCTCTCTCTTCTCACCCTACTCTTCCGAAGAGCAAGAGTGCCGGGGAGGGAGGGGTTATGTTCCCAGGTTTTGCTAAATCCCGGCTTTTCGCGCATGTCCACAGTCCAAAGAAGGCTCTGGAGCCTTCACTTTCGATCAAGTGTTTCCCATGGACTCGAAGCAGCAAGATGTCTTCAACTTCTCGATCCGACCGACTGTGGATGACATCCTGAACGGCTATAACGGCACGGTTTTCGCGTACGGCCAGACGGGTGCGGGAAAGTCGTATACGATGATGGGTTCCGACATTGACGACGACATCGGCAAGGGTATCATTCCGCGCATAGTCGAGCAGATCTTCGCCAGCATCCTCACCAGTCCCAGTAACATCGAGTACACGGTGCGGGTCAGTTACATGGAGATCTACATGGAGCGGATTCGCGACTTGCTCGTACCGCAGAACGACAACCTGCCGGTGCACGAGGAGAAGTCTCGTGGCGTCTACGTCAAGGGCCTGCTCGAGGTCTATGTGTCCAGCGTTCAGGAGGTGTACGAGGTGATGCGCCGGGGTGGTGCGGCCAGAGCGGTTGCGGCGACCAACATGAACCAGGAGTCCTCTCGGTCGCATTCTATCTTCGTCATTACCGTTACACAGAAGAATCTGGAGACCGGATCGGCCAAGAGTGGTCAGCTCTTCTTAGTCGATCTGGCGGGTAGTGAGAAGGTCGGTAAGACCGGTGCGAGTGGTCAGACTCTAGAGGAAGCGAAGAAGATCAACAAGAGTTTGAGTGCTCTGGGCATGGTCATCAACGCGCTGACGGACGGCAAATCGACGCACATTCCCTACCGTGATTCTAAGCTCACTCGAATTCTGCAAGAAAGTTTGGGAGGTAACTCGCGGACAACCTTGATCATCAACTGCTCGCCCAGTAGCTACAACGATGCGGAAACAATCTCGACCCTGCGATTCGGTGTACGCGCCAAGGCTATCAAGAACAAGGCGAAGGTGAACGCAGAGCTCAGCCCGGCGGAATTGAAGCAGCTCCTCCGCAAGGCCCAGAGTCAAGTTACCAACTTCGAGACCTATATCTCGGCGCTGGAGACGGAAGTTCATGTGTGGCGCAGTGGTGAAGCAGTTCCCAAGGATCGTTGGACTCCTTCAAGAGGCTCAGAAGTTGTCAGTGCGGCTAAGGCGGAGGCTCGCGCCCCTCGACCTGGCACTCCCTCTCGCTTCCAGGACATTCCCCGCTCAGAGACTCCTCGTCCCGACTCCAGATTAGGGGACCGTTCCAGCACACCAAGCCTGGTTCTCGAGAAGGATGAGCGGGAAGAGTTCCTGAGACGGGAGAACGAGCTGCAGGACCAGATTGCGGAGAAAGAGTCTCACATTGCTAGCATTGAGCGGGGCCTGCGCGAGGCTCGGGAGGAGTTGAAGAGCATGAAGGAGAACACCGCACGTTCGGGCAAGGACAACGACAAGCTCACCACCGAGGTGAACGAGCTTCGTATGCAATTGGAGAAGGTGTCATATGAGAGCAAGGAAGCTTCTATCACCATGGACAGTCTTCGCGAAGCCAATTCGGAGTTGACCACTGAATTGGACGATGTGAAGCAGCAGTTGCTCGACGTACGGATGAAGGCGAAGGAGACCAGCGCTGCGCTGGACGAGAAGGAAAAGAAGAAGGCCGAAAAGATGGCGAAGATGATGGCGGGCTTCGACCTGGGCGGAGATGTGTTCTCCGACAACGAACGCAAGCTTAAGGAACTGCTGTCACGCGTGGACGAACTGCACAAGATTAGCGAAGCCGGGGAGACGATCGCGCCCGACGACCTACTGGAGCTGCGCACTAGTCTGCAGGAAACCCAGGGATTCATACGCCAGGCTGAGCTTACTATGAATGACCGGGGCGAGCTAAGCGAGCTGCAGGACAGCCGCAGGGCGGAAGTTGAACAGAAGTTGGCGACTATCGAGCGGGAATACGAGACCCTTCTGGAACGAAACCTGGGCGAGGGCGACGTGGAGGAGATCCGGGAGCGGTTGGAGAAGGTGTACGTTACGCGCAAGGAGGCGGAGATGCAGGCCGTCACGGACCTGCGCAACGAGATTGCACGCAAGGACGAAGAACTGGGCAAGCTGCGCCAGTCCCTTGCCGACTCGCAGACCCGAGTGTCCACCAACGGCGCGGCGGGCAAGAACCTGCAGCAGCAGATCGCCGACTTCGACGCCATGAAGAAGTCCCTGATGCGGGATCTGCAGAACCGCTGCGAGCGGGTGGTCGAGCTCGAGATATCGCTGGATGATGCTCGCGAGCAATACAACAACGTCCTCCGCTCCTCGAACAACCGGGCGCAGCAGAAGAAGATGGCGTTTCTGGAGCGCAACCTTGAGCAGCTCACCCACGTGCAGCGCCAGCTGGTCGAGCAGAACAGCAGCCTGAAGAAGGAGGTCGCCATCGCGGAGCGAAAGTTGATCGCCCGGAATGAGCGGATAGCCAGCTTGGAGAGCCTGCTCCAGGAGAGCCAGGAAAAACTCACCCAAGCGAACCACCGGTAGGGATTCCTCTCCAGCTAATCCCATCCCCACATAAGACAAGACCTCAAGCTAACCACGCATCTCACCAACAACAGCTTCGAAGCCCAACTCACCGCCGTCAAGGAGCGCCTCGAGGCCGCGAAGCAGGGCTCAACCCGCGGACTCCCCAGCATGGACGCCAGCGGCGGCTTCAACTTCAGTGGCTCCCGAATTGCCAAGCCTCTCCGAGGCGGCGGCGGAGGAAATGAGAGCAGTGCTCCCGTAGCCGGCGTCCAGTCGCAGGAGACTGGCGCCAAGCGCACGAGCTGGTTCTTCGATAGACGATGATATCTCACGATTTTTCTTTTTCATTGTGTATTATCTTTCTCATTCTCCGAAAATACTTTTCTTGTTGCATCATGTGTGAAGCCGAAAGGAATGAAGCCCACGTCGTGTTTTTTTCGCCCTCTCGTATTGATTAGGGAGGAAAGAAGATATCCCAACCATTCTCTCTCTCTTTTTTTTCTGACTGTGAGGCATGAGGCATGATTACGTATGATATCGTTTGCGGTTCTTGTGCTTCTTGCCTTGCCCTGCCCTGCTTTTACTTGGTCTCGAAAGCTGAGGGGATATACTTTTGATTCTTTGTTTAGATGGAAATCTCATACCCCCACCGCCCCCTCCACCGCCTACTTACCTCCTACTTGCCTATCTATCTATACCCACTACCACCGCTCTCTGCCGCATAGGGATTCCCCCTACAGATTATAGATGGACAGTCGTCGTGTCTGGATGACCACCCTCGGACTCCCACCACCCTCTTGTACGTGACGATCCATGATAGAAACAGCACCAAGCAATGAGAATTGCGGATCGAGATCGAGATGCCTTACAATTGAACCAAATCCTAGGGTTTCCTGATAACGGCATTGCCGAAATTATGCTCACCTCATTGTAGGCCGCGGGTGAGGATAGTAAAGAAATGTAGCCATGTCTGCAAGATAACGTAAGCAAGCAATGACATCTTGGAGTGTATTTACAAATCTCGGTCCCTACCCTTGAACCCGCCTTGGGGATCTAGTGAGTATACAGGAGCAGCAGCAGCAGCAGCAGCAACAGCAAACATGTACATCGAGAAAGTATATGGGAAGGATGAAGAAGACTAGGCACAGAACTCTGCCGCCAGGAAAGAAAAGTCAAGCGTTTGCATAATCCACAAGGCGGGAACATAATACAGAAGACAATATCAGGTTTAGAAGAGAGAGAGAGCGCGCACTGCAATAACGCTGACTATGACCCCCCACCCCGCACCCTAATTGGACGGACTGTCTTGGATGTAGATAAACACATACACTCACAAACCATAATAAAAGAAAGAAGGAAAAGAGGAAAAAAAGATCCCATAAATGTCCCGCACACATCAGAACGCAAGTACAAACATTATTCGTAGGGAATCCTTAGCGAAACAACGAGATGAAAACATGTATCACGTGACATAGAGAGCACCACATAGCACATTGCAAAAACAGCACAGCGGAAAACAGGCACAATGGGGAGGAGGAACAAGAACAAGAACAAGTCGAGAACGAGTAAGCGCCAAGTTTCACCGAGCGGAGAGAATTCCAGTTAAAAAGAACGACAACATGCGAGTAGTGGGCGGCTGGGGCGCGCTCTATACCAACCCATCGTACAGCGAGAGGGCGCTCACGATCGTCTCATCCCGTTTGCTCCCCTCCTTGAACTCCTCCATGTCCAGGCTCCCGTTCTCGTCCTTGTCCATCATGCGGAAGATCTTGCGCACCCGTTTCTCGGGGGTGTCTTCGTCTTCGGGGAGTTTTACCATCGAGCCGACCTGCACGGGAAGCATTAGCCAGTTTTCGGTGGGGGGTGGGGATGGAATTCAGGGAACAGCCCATAGGACAAAAAGGGGGCACGACGCACCATCTTGTAGATCGCCTCCACGATCGCCAGCATCTCATCGTACGTGATCTTCCCGTCGCCGTCGATGTCGTACAGCTGGAACGCCCAGTCCAGCTTATCCTCCATCTTGCCCCGAGAGGTCACCGACAAGGCACAGATGAACTCCTTGAAGTCGATCATCCCGCTGTTGTCCGAGTCGAACACCCGGAACACGTAGTTCGCGAACGAGGACGGGTCGCCGAAGGGGAAGAACTGGCGGTAGATCTTCTGGAACTCTTCCTTGGTGAGGGTGCCCGACGGGCAGTCTTTGAGGAAGCCTGTTCCGTGACCGGAGAGGTTAGCTCCTGTACTTTCTATCGTCCGTCTTTTCGCGAGGGGTTGTTGGCTTTGCGTGTTGAGCTGCCGGTGGGTTGCTGTGCTCGCTCTCAAGCCATATGCTGCATGTTTGTATAGATCTGGTCGATAAGGCACTCACCCTTATACCATTGCTGCAGTTCCTTCTTATCGAAATGTGTCGCCTTTTGGAGCTCGTCCAGCTGAGCGGGGGAGAGCTTCGACTGTCTACCATAGAACAAAACATGACGTTAGTTTTGTGGTTTGCGGGTAATGTGACAACATGAGTACATGTTTGGAACGAGGGAGGAAGCCGTCGCCGCACGGCGGATAAGGGTTCGACCGGGGGAGAGGGGGTTCATGCAAGAGGTTTCGCAGAGCATGGGGTGCGCAGAGGGCTAGAAGACAGATCTAGACTGCGTTTGTCTCATGGAGAGAAAAGTCCCAAGAGATCCATCTGCGACACAAGACCCCAAAACATTGTGTTGCGCCCTGGCTTGCGTCTCCATCTCTCCGTCGCCTCTTGAACGGCGACGCGGGACAACTGGGGAAGCGCATCACTTACGACTTGCCCATTGTCAACTATGCGTACACCACAGTGCCGATTTCAGCAATGAAGACGGGTAAGAGAGGGGTGCGTCAGGGATGCGTGTGCGGGATGGACGGCGCAGAGAAGGACGAGAGAAGACACGGAGTTTCGGATAGCGCGGGGTAAATCAAGCGGCGGTGGTGGGACCGATAAGAGGGAATAAAGGGACCGAGGCTGTTGGTGGGAGATAGTATAGTGGTGTAGTGTAAGTCTAGTGTAGTGTAGGCGTGAAGATGAAGGTGACCGTCGCGAAATAGCAGGATGAATTAGAAAGAACAGAACACGGACAAGAAGAGGAATCCGATTTTATTGAGAAATGAGAAATGAGAACTGGGCCAGAGGAAAAGTAGTGGCGACGCCCGAGGGATCGAATCGGTGATGCTTCCTTCCTTCATAGCCCCGAGCCGCCGGTTCCAGAACATGTTTATGTGCGGCCTTGGCAATTTGCCCTTGCGGATGAAACACGACTTGGGTTGACTTGGGTTGGGCTAGATGCACATCTCTTCGTCACCCTCTCTCCCACTGTCTCCACTCCACACTCTACCATCATATTGTACACATAATCACATACGGACACCGCCCAATGGGTCTCCCCCATCCCCCCATCATTGCCCTTTTCAGAAATCAACAGTCAATCTGTCCGTCACTCGTTCCCCCGATTTATGTACAGCCATCCTCCCCCCAAAAAAGAATAAAACAACAAACACCAGCGCAGTATGACAGAGGAAAGCACGAATCATGCACAAAGCAATAGAACAATAAACTGTCGCTTTACATGGGATATCCTAGACAAGGGACCGTGACAACTATCTCATAAAAATGACAAGAGCAGCGACCAGCGACCGACTGGGCCTACGAGGTACAAAAACGACATGATTCCCAGGAAATGGTCATGCTTCACGAGTGCGAACCATTGTCCCAGAGTCTGCGAAAGTCTAACGCCGGGGGGAGTTAATAATAGCAGTCATACCCCGGATGAGGCAGTGGAAGGGGGTTTGTCTGGTTGGCCTGGGCGAGGCAAAACGCCTCGGTGGCTCCACAGGGAGCGGGCCGAGTTGACGACGCGATCAAAAATTGTGACTGCAGATTCTCTAGTCGACCTTGATCGAGCCGTAGATGCGCTGCACAAACGCCCAGCTGGCAAAGAAGCCAATCGAGCCTGTTCATTAAAGGTCAGTTGAATATTCTGAAGGCATCCCCAATCTCAAGAGGGACGACAACATACCGGTCAGAATAAAGACCACGAAGCCGATCAAGGCGGAATAGCCAATGTATAGAACAGCGCCCGTGAGGCCACCAAAACTAACCCGCGTGATCCAGAACAGCAAGGCGTTCAGGAACACGTACACTCCGGTCATTCCCGCGCCGGCAAACGCCCTCCAGTGCCACCGGTAGTTCTCCGCACAGAGCAGGAAATAAACCAACAAAACCGTCGTGGCAGCCGAGGTTATGACCATCAAGCCATAGCAAAGGAACAGGAACCCAAACATGTAGTAGATCTTGTTGGTCCAGAGCGAAGTCATGATGAAATAGAGCTCCACAAAGATGGCTCCGAAGGGCAGAATGCCGGTCAACAGGAGCGACGGAATCGGGCGGAGCGTGCCAGCCATGGGCGGCACTTGGCGCGGGATTTGGTTGGTCTTGGTCGGACCCTCAATGGCCTGTCAACTCGTTAGCAAGACTCGCCGTCGGCACGCTCGGGAGTGATCTACCTGTTGTTTGAATCCCAGCCAGCTTCCTGCCACACTGAGCGGCACGCTGATGACGAACCAAATCATGACCAGAGCGAGCATGGTGGTGAAGGGTACAGCTCCGCTGGATCCCTTGGCCCAGACAAAGAGGTTGAGCAGGAAGAAAGTGCCGAAGATAAGGGCCGGGACCAGCACAGGGGTCATAATGATATTGCGCTTCCAGGCATCCCCGCCCAAAGACTTGTAGACACGTGCCGAGACATAGCCTCCGATGAAGCCAAAGAGCGTGTAAATGATGAGAATGGCCGTCGCAAGGAAGCCACGGTTCGCAGGTGAAAGGAGACCGAAGAGGGCAAACACTGTCCATAAAAGTCAATGCTACGACATGCAAATTAGTTGCAAGGCAGCTTACCAACGGTGACACCGGTCATCATGAAGAGCTGAGCGCCATTGCCCACAAGCACGCTGAGCAGCAGGGGAGCCTTAGGGCACCGGAACACATCGCCATGAACCAACTTCCAGCCCGAATCCTCCTGGATGCCGTCCTCCACGGCTGCCGAAGTGCTGTCGAAATCATCCAGGTTGATCATGTCGAGTCTGTTATAGCGAGCGATATCCTTCTTCAGAGCCCGGATAAGAATCATGCTGACCATACCCACGAGGAACACCACGAACACGGCCGAGTTGATCAGAGAAAACCAATGGATTTTGGGGTCATAGACGTGCAGGTACTTATCCCAACGGGTCGCCCACGGGGTGGACGACTCACGCCAGTAGACACTGTAGGTCCAAGCCACGGTCGTCTCACCTTCCTCGTTCAGAACAACGCCAGTCCCATCCGTTTCGCACTCCGCGGTCCCGTCTTCCAAGATCCGAGCGTTGGCCCGCGACTCGGGTTGCACAAGCACACCGACGACGCGATACTTATCTTGGGCCCCGTACCCGACCCGATGATAGTCGATCAGGATCTCGAAATGGTTGTTCAGCACCGGAAGGCCGTCAT